TGTTACTGGGTTTAGTTTACCTGAATATGGTTCGTGTTTTTGGGGTGGGGTGGGGTTGGGGATTCTTCTGGCTACAAGTGGTGATAGAAATGTGCTGCAAACTTGTTCAGGATGTGAGTCCTACAGGGCTAATTACCGAATACAGTCCTTTATGTTTAGAATGGGAAGTAAACGATCATTAATGGTAAAAGTTAGGGGGACAGAACTCTTTTTCCCGGTCATGTCAACTTTTTAATCCTCTCCGGGGGGTTGATTAGAAATTCATCAAAATGTATGGCGTCATTTTTATGTCAAATGTTCACAAGCGCAAAAATGAACCTTCCCGCGCACAGATACAGTATTCACGCACAAATTCAACAACCGAGAGTTGCACAAGTTTCTGCGAGCGAGCGCCAGGTTTGTTCTCAAAGGAAAACTCTGCGCAAGCGCAGTGGATTTCTGCTCACTCCAGGACTTGTGACAATTTGGGGCGGAAACCAAGGAGGGCACTGACCCTCTTATGATTGGTCACTTTCGTCGTGATTACAACCACAGGGAGGTCCTTGTACCTTGATTGACAGCTCCCATTAAAGGAAGCACGGAGTTGGGTTAACTTACCACTGAAGAAGAGTGGGGTAAATAAATGAATTAGAATGATTTAACTATTTGCTGCGCAGCATTTTATACGCAGTCAGAGACATTTTATATTTATATTAGAAATCTCATTCTAATTCATTTACTTACCCCACTCTTCTTCAGTGGTAATTAATAATAATATATAATAATAATAATAATAATAATAATAATAATAATAATAATAATAATAATTAATAACATTTTAGTTCTGTCTCCTCTCTCAGGATGAAGACGCTCTGCTGGACCCTGCTGCTCTTCATCCTCTCTCCATGTGTCTGTGGTCAGTTTCCATCTTCCCTTCCTTCCTTATTTACTTTTAGTACTTTTGCCATAGTCCTGTTTACTTTTAGTACTTTTCCATAGTTTTGTTTACTTTTAGTGCTTTTGCCTTAGTCTTGTTTACTTTTAGTACTTTAGCCATAGTCTTGTTTACTTTATTTGATACTTTGTTCATAGTTTTGCCTGCTTTGTTCGCACTTTGTCTGTCAACCACTCCTTTTGAGTGCGTTTTTTGTTAAATAAATCCTGTTTTCACCTTGACCTGAGTCCTCCCCTGAGATCCACCCGCCCTGACAGTTGCAGCTCTCAGAGCTCCTCTCTTTCCCTTTGTCTCCTCAGCGGCTGCGTTTGGAGTGAATGTGACACAGAGACACT